AAAAAACATTTTGAATTATATAAGAATTCGCAAGTCTTCATTTTATTTCTCGCCTCGAGCAGGGAACCCTACTAATCTCTTTTCAGTACTCTCTGTTCTAGAGGAAATTCAAACCAAAAGAAAACACAGATACCTTTCAAGGACCCGGGACATTTGGACAACAGTCTCGAACCCGTGAATCACTTCAAGATTTCAAGACTGTGTAGTGAGCATGATTGTACCATCCACACAAGCGTATAACGTGAGCAATACCTATTACGACCTATATCACGAGATGCCTTATCTCGATACTTGTTTTGTATGCTCAATGATTGTTTATGATTGATGCAGCAATTTTGAACGTTAGGATGCTACACCGGTTTCCTTCGACAATCTTTCATTTCCAGAGATCGGGTCATACGAAACGCACATTGGCTGCCTCGAGGTTCAACTAGAATTTCGGCTGTAGTGACCATGATTGTACGATGCAAAGGAGCAATCCACGAGGACGTTTTCCGTTCATATTTTCTTCACAATCAACTCTGACTCGAAATGTGATATTTCATTGTTTTGTTTTACTTCTGTTTGTTTTACCGAGCACGGTTTTCCGCTCAGGCGTATATATAACTTCACTTGTTTAAATGAGCACGGTTTTCCGCTCAAGTTTATATATAAGCAGGGTCCTGTTCAAACCCACGCAATACGTGTGACACGCTTTCGCTTTGCTACTGCATTTATTGCTTGATTTGTTTAGAGTCACCTCGGCACGTTTCGGTACTGTCTAGTACAACGATTCGCCAATAAACGTTTACGACTCCCACGAGTGTTTTTGTCTACCTCGGGCAACGAGACACTAGGAGGTCGTGCGCACTTTGAGACTCGTAAGGAGACCTACCGGCAGGCCTTCAACACCGGTTAGCTTCATATGTGACTCCATTGCCCCCTTTTTTGACTTCTAGTTGTACATTATTACGGACACGTGAGAAAAACCTTTTCGTCTCTACGCCATCTTATCTCTACCACCATTCACGTACGCGCCTGACCGGTTGAAGCTGGTGAATTGTTGCTGCTGGTTAACTCCTGGTCTCCTCATTTCAGATAAACGATCCGTGGTTAAACTCATCCCACCGTGGTTCCTACAAATTGGTTGACAGCGGTGGGATGGTACAAATTATGCCGAAAATGGGTGAACCGTCCATATCGAGAGAAGAAAAGTTCGGCACCAACTCGGTGCTCCCCCAGACACTATCGGCGTTACGCTTAGTAACAGAAAACGTGGCCGCGCAGTCAATCCCGGGGCCCCCGAAGTTCCACATTAGTGATCACTATAACCGATGGGAATCCCAAGTCCGGCCATACCTACGTATGTGGGAGCCCACTAAACGGTAGTATATATTGCTGTCCCTAGTAGACGAAGCGGTGTACAATCAGATTCACCAAGAAGTCCATGAAGACGTCTCAGGTGAAGCGTTTGACACAATGCGGTCCATCATTTTCCCGCACCGGCGAAACGAACAGGACCAATACGCTTTCCACTGTTGCACGCAACGACCTGATGAAACGGCCCAACGATTCGCAGCAGAACTACTAGAATTATCTGCGCTGGCATTCCCCGAATGTGAGACTGCGTTTCGAGAGCCGATGCTTCCGTATCAGTTCGTCGATGGCGTGAGTCTGGCAGTTGTTCAGAACTCGTTCGCCAAACACCACCCGAGTCGCTAAAAGAGGCGATTGATCGCGCCGTCTTGCTGGAGGAACCACCCGTGGTTACCGACGCCCTGCGTAAACTGAATGCCCCAGCCAATTCACCGTCCGATCTCAGACAACGACCTAGGCAATATGCTGGACGCCGAAATCAGCCGCCAGATCGACAGAGGCGGCCCTGGGTTGCTCGGGAGAACACAAAGTACCCCAGTTCAAGTGAGTCACACCAAGATGCTTATTTTCCCTTTGCCTGTTCTATGACACTGATCTGATTACCTACAGTCATAGGAAGTATTAATAGTGATAATGGTAGAATGTTGGTCAGCCGTAAACCTAGTCCGAGACGCTCCTACTATCCCCCAGGAACACATACCACCGGGACGCTAGCTCTGAGAAGCGAACAACACAAAGATAGTAACATAAGCTTCTACCGTAGTAACCTTTCAAATAGGCACGCAGAATCTGTCCCACGAAGCAATGGTGGTACGTGACCTGACGTGCGACACCATCCTAGTGATCCCTTTCCTCACTCGTCACGCGTGCATCGTAAATACGACACAGAGCTCATTGTAAATCAACGGCGAACATGCACCATACGACCTAACGGCCCCTCAAGCCCGTAAAAGAATGATTGAGTGCAATACCAAGACACGACGTAAACAAGATAAAATAGACCAACTCCTGTCCGCCGTGGGACCGGCATCTCAGCTAGAACGAGACCGGCTGCGAAAGGTAGCCCAGAAAATCCGAGACACCTTTGCATGGTCTAAAGCAGAATTGGGGCGCACCGACGTAGTCACCCACCGAATCAACGCGGGTAGTGCCACCCCAATTAAGGAGACACCCCGCCGGGTACCAGTGCACTACAGAGAACAGGTGACTCAATTGATCACTGAAATGCTAGCTAACAAAGTCATCCGGCCATCAACGTCACCATGGACAGCACCTGTGGTAATAGTAAAAAAGAAAGGATGGGTCCTTGAGGTTTTGCGTTTACTACCGCCGATTGAACAACATAACCAAAAAGGACTCGTTTCCATTGCCACATATCGACGAAATGCTTGAAAACGTATCGGGCTCGTCGTACTTCTCCTCGATCAACCTCGCATCGGGATATTGGCAGGTTGAAGTACATCCCAGAGACCGCGAAAAGAGGAAGTTTGTCGTTCTCAGCGGTCAGCCTGCCCGCCGGAAGTTTGTACAGAAGCTCGGTAATGAGAATAATAATGGTATATTTCACGAAGGCCGTGAAGCATGCTGGCGTGCATGATCAAATGTAGAAAAATGTAAAAATGACAGTGGAGAGAAAATGTAATCGTACAGACTGTAAGAACGTCGTTTTGAAACGGGTACGAAAGATATCGTAAATGTGCAATACTGTGAAAATGAAACACAGAGCGCATAAGGTCATATGATGGAGCACTGGTGATGATCGGTGCAACGTGGGAGACTTAGCCCAACGTTGCCACCGATTCGTAATACACGGCAGGAGGTTGATTTTGAGCAACACGATCCGATTTTCTGGTGCCAATAGCGCTGTCAGAATGCCGCTAACAAAACCCTATTTGAGGTGTGGTAAATGCGGCCCAGTACAGACGCTCTCAATGCACAGGTAGGAGACACTTCGGACGACAGGTTCTCCGTGGAAGCGGGATTTCCAAACAACCTTTAAAGCAAGGAAAATACAAAGCAGCCATGAACCAAAGGACCAGTGAGACATGTACACGACTCACACTCCATCAAAAATGGCAGGAACGTGCTCAACGTGCCTAACGGTTATGTAGAGCAAATCAATGCAAACGTTTTTCTTATGAAAAACAATAGACAAGACACAAAATTGGTATTTGGAACATTCATTCAGGAGAAAATAAACGGAAATGAATTCGAGGAGCAGTTGTATAGTGAAGAAGAAACATTCATGATTTCGGAATAAGCACTGCAATCGAGCTGGAGAAGGGCAGAGTGATTCAAAAGGAGACGCCAGATGGCTTATAAATAAACGGTCGATACAGTTGGAAATGCTTCTGTGAACACGGAACAATGGACTCCGGGGCTTCACCGTGAACGGATTGTTTGGGTTGTATTATTTATATTATTTAGGCGTAGGTCGCTCTGAAGTGGAACTGACTACTTGCTTGACACCTAACCTTAAAACACAGTGTAGGTGAGGCAGGGGTTTTGTTCTTCAACCTGGTCCGGAATGCGGAAGCATGTAGTCAAAGCGGCGGAGACAGCCGCGCCCAACAACCCTTGCCGGAGCCAGGTTGTCCATTGTGGGTGCAGACCCCAAGCCTTCGACAGGCCCAAACCAACCGAATCTGAAAATCAGCAGTCTGGGGTAATACCCAGCTGAGAAGGGATGTGGAGGAACACAGAATGTTACGTAAGAATATGCGGAAAGCGTCAAGGCCCGAAAGTATATATAATCTATATTAATGCGCACCGAAGAAATAGATCACAACGAGATAAGTTTGAAAGTGTAACCTGCTCCCTGCTCAGCATGTGTCACCCAGATGAGATGGATTAGACAGGTAGACATGGGGGGGGGCGGACCAAAAACGGTGAGAAGTATGGGCGAACACATGATGTAGGGTTCAACCTGGATGGTTTGCGTTCCACTGATCAAGCTTTGAAGCTCCACCAGTGCACTGATTAGAAATGGGTTGAAAAGTAAACACTGCTCCCTAATCAGAAGATGCCACACCGAAAACATGGATCAGAGGAGTAGAAATGAAGGAACGAACCAGAAACTTTAAGAAATATGGGCGAGAAACCTATTGTAGGTTTCCACCTGAAAAGTAGCCTGATAGGTATCACGGCAGGACTGAATCCCAGTGTCTTGTACTTTGGCGGTTAACGAATGCACTCAGTAGCCTCTTTATCGTTCGATTTGTTCGTTCCACTAATCGGTTGCCTTGTGGGTGGTAAGGAGTGGTGCGAGTTTTCTTGCTTCCGAGTAGCTGACACAGATCCGCCATGGTGATGCTGGACCGTTTAAGAGTGGACATTATTTGGACTGGCTCATTCGGCCAACCGCAAACCATTTTCAATTACCTTCAACACCACCGCCACTGGTGACGATATGATCGAACAAACCCTTCAGCGGATGTAAGACAATGAGTTCGACGACTTGAGCGACAAGAAAGAGGACCCCTCTGTAGAAAATAACCGCGCATCAGCTATAGTTGAAACGGGGACACGCTGTCAGCCCGACGGGTCCGATGTATCTTTACCATGGAGGACGGGATATGCCCGATTGCCAAACAACCACGGGATAGCCCCAAAACGGTTGGAGTATCTTAAACGGTGACTGGTACGGGACGCAAAGCTATGTCGACAGTACGCCCCATCGATGCAACGGAACGAGTAGCTGGGATACCTAGAACGATTGGACGATTGGACGCTGGGAACGACTGGGGTGCTTGCCACACCACTCGGTAACAAACCTCAGAGAAACCTCAGGGAAGATAAGCGCGATATTCGACTGTGCAGCACGATGCGGCGGTCTCTCCCTGAATGATTGTCTGTTACGGGGACCAGACTGGACCACTCCGTTGGTTGGCGGACTCAACCGATTCCGGCTAGGAGCAGTCGCGGTGGCAGAAGACACACAGGAAATGTTCCTCCAAGTTAAGATACCAGAGGATGAGCGCGACGACCTGCGACTACTATGGTGGCCTGAAGGCGACGTACACAGCCCGGCAGTAGACTACCGACTGACCATTCATCCATTTAGAGCGGTTTCCTCGCATTTCTGCGCAAATTACGCACTCCGACGGACAGCTTCACAGTATGGAACAACTTTCCCGCCTCGGTGTCAGCAAGCTTTGGGAATAATTTCTACGTCGACGACCTCTTGGGTGCCTTCGATGACGCAAGGGAAGCTTCTCAACACGTAATGCAACTAAGACATCTACTGGAAAAGGGGGTGTTCACCTAACCAAATGGTTGTCGAAGTCGCCTTTATTTTCAGACAACGTTCCCGAAACCGACAGAGTGAGTGGGGCTCTCAACCTGACTACACAGGTACTCCCCATTGGGCCAAACTTGGGGATACGATGGAGAGCAGAGTCAGATAAATTAATATTTCCACTTAAACTATCCGAGAGGAACCCCACCCGGCGAGGGCTGCTATCGTCGGTCTCCAGTTTATATGACCCGCTTAGATTCGTCGCGATGTGGCTGTTACCGAGGAAGGTCCCCCTACAACAACTGTGTCAAAAAAGAGTGAAGTAGGATCAACCCTTAGATGAGAAGGACCGGATAGATTAGGAGCAATGGTTAACAAGCCTAATCACATTGGATGAGTTACGGATCCCGCGCCGGCTAGCCGAAGCAGTCAAGCGACAGAGGCCGAATTGCTCCTATTCTCCAACGCGTCCGAGACGGGATACGAGGCAGTAGCCTATGCTGACTTCATGTGAACGGTGAACCCAAGACGGAATTACTTTTTGCCAAGGAACGGGTCACCCCATTGAAATGCGTATTGATATCCCGCCTCGAAATGACCGCGGCCTTGCTAGCTGTGCGTATAGCAAAGCAGCTGCGACAGTGTTTCAATATACTTGAAGAACGCGTCAAGTTCTGAACCGACTCTGTCTTTGTAATACACTATGTGAAAAACGTCAGCACTAGATCCAACACCTTCTTTTCCAGTCGATTGACACGAAGAGACTGAAGTGCACCAATGGCGATACGTCAAATCTACCAACAAACAAGCTGGCCACTGCTTCCGAGGCTTAAAACCATTGGACAAATCACCCGATTGGCTCTACGGCCCAACATTTCTGACCACCACATCAAACGGCGAGAGTAAAGTGCTTGCACTCCACGCACCCATTGAGTTTGATAGAATCCAAAATAGCGATCATAACGGCGACGTCACCCCCCTGTTGAGAAAACTAGAATTCTTCTCGTCATCATTCGTTGCTTGGTGGATGAGCTCTAAACAAATAGTGATGACCATGACCGAGTATCAGCGTGACGAATCGTTGAATGTGAGACGTTTATCGACAGATGACTTTATGAGAGCCAATAACGACGTCGTAAAACTAGTTCAACAACAACATCTCTCCCTAGAAACAGCAGCGTTGGAAGAGAGTGAATGGACAAACCCCAAAAGAACTGTGATCCCACGGAGAGCTCCGCGTAAGCGGAACCCCTTTGTTGCGGCCGACTTTCCGAAACTGTGTTATACGCGTATCGTTCAACTGAACAACTTCGTGATCCCGAAATTTGTACGTTTCATTATCGCAAACCCAATGATTAACCGAAACGTCCAACAATAATAGAACATAATGAACACCGATCAATAGTGGGGGCACGTTTGATACGATATCTGAAAGTTTACAATAAATTTCGTATACATACTTGACCGTGAAACGGTAAACGAATAAGTGGAGTGTTATTGCTCAACCGAGCGACAATCGAAACCTTTATGTTTTAAAGGAATAATAATGAATGGTACAGATAAACAAAGGCCAGAATAAAAGAGAGAATGCCACTCATAATAACCGATCTGTCATCAAAATGTCGTTCTCATCATCATCTACGGTGTTTTAGCCGTCGTAACACCCCCCACGGAAAGCCATCCGGCTTTAACATAATAAACACGCGTATTACAACTGTAATTGTTTCCAAACAATTGAAATTCACATTTAAAATAAGTACACACGGCAAACGAATATATGTATATAATAAATTTAATGTAATTGATAAGTCAACCCGGATGGAACCAGAATTCGCACCCGACCGGCGCTTCTTAGTTGTACATACTTATATCAACCAGATGCTCCTTTTCACGTCAGCGCCATGAAACCCCGTTCTAACGACCAAAAGGAAACTTGAATACTTTGCGAGTTTGATGACTGATGTCGAATCAATCAAATCTCTTAAATCGTTAGGTGCAGCCAAGGGGAACCTCTTTGGTGTATCCCTTTTTACTTACCCCATAGGGCGATACGACGCCTGTTTCTTTTTTGTTTGAGGCATCTTGGTGCAGGTGGTTGCCTCACAGCTAGGTGGTATGGACAACAGGTTTTACGTTCATTCACCACACCCGCTCAGTGAGAGCTTCCACAATAATATCGCACTCAAAATTGAGGCCATATTGATCATTGTGGACTAACAATTATATGGGCTTGATCTGAAAAGACCGAGTATGTACCCCGGTCTAACCCAATGGCAAGTGCATCGTCATGCTTTTTTCTGAAATGAGGCCGATTCTCCGTCATCATCCACAACATTTCTGCAAAATGTTTTTTGCTGAATACTCAAACATTCCACTAACCTTTCATGGGCAGACAAAAAGGGACTGTCAAGATGACATTTGTTTCATCTATCAACGAACTGATACTAGTCCTAAAGACGCATGGTCATATAAACGAAGGCAGGTTGCACAAGTGACTCTTACTAAGGCATAAGTCATCAACAGACACCAAGTAACCTTAACAACAAAAACGCTTACAGGGAATAATGATCGAAAAAACAATCATAGCACAATTAAAAATGAACCATTCATTTAACCGTCATCATCCTCTAACCAACATAACTTGCGTACATCACGTCGCAGAGTCCCATGAGATGTGCGGACCGATACTTCTATTATTAATCCATCTTCACTAGGAAGAACCACACTAAAAACTCCTAACGGCCAGCAATTTCTATGGACACCTTCAGTGGTCCCAAGCACCAGATCTCGCGCAAAAGCAAGTAAATAACGTTTATATCTTAGGAGCCACGTAACGCATCGTAGCAATTTAAGCCAACAGCAGAATCCTCCTAAAGATGACAGATAATCACAGTGACAAAAAGCACTGATAACAACTTTAGACTTCAACTGCAAGTCGTCAGCTGAATCTGATGGACATTCGCCATAGTTCGGTACTAGTCTTCGTGGTTCACGCAAAAGGATTGAGACTTTAGACCATAACTGTTTGTATCTGTCGCCGCTCCTCATTCCTCGGGACGCGAGACCCGCAGGATTATCTTTTCCGCTGATGTGCCTCCATTGATCAACTGTCGTCCAACCCTTGACCTTTGAAATTCTGTTGGACACGAACGTTGAAAATCTACTTTTCTCATTCCTCAGAGAATGCAATACTATAGCAGAATTAGTCCAGTAAACTGTATCAGTTAATGTTATCTCACATTCCTTCTTTATTATTTGTGCTAATTCAACCGCAAGCACAGCAGCATTCAGCTCTAAACGCGGTATGCTTACGGTTCGTAATGAAGCGACCCGAGAATCGGTAATTAGCAGTACGCACAAAGACAGATTACGATTCTGCACAAAACGTAAATGGCATGCTGCTCCGTATCTGACTTCAGACGCATCGCAAAAGGTATGCAACTCAACCTTGCCTTCGGTATTTTTTTACGGTGCGTGCATACCAGCTAGGTATTTAAACTTGACGAATTTCACTTTGAACTTCCATAGACTGTCGCCATTCTTTAATCACGGCTGACCAACATTTGGTCCCACCCTGTGGCTTATCTACACAGCTTCTGAAATAAGATTTTCAACGGTAAAACATAAAGTCTTATCCACCCTAACGAATCAAATATGGAGGACAGCTGAGACAATAACACTCTCCGGGTAGGTGGAGGTTCTAGTGCCTCAAACTGAAAAGCAAACACATCCTGCTCTACTGTCCATGATAAACCTAAAGTTTGCTGCGTCCGCAAACCCTCGATTTCCATATTTTTCACTGATGTACTTCTCAAGTTATCAGGAATCCGATATAAAACTTCTCGACTGTTGCTTAACCACTTTGTTAGCTTGAAACCTCTTTGGCTCAGTAAACTGAACAAGCCTTCAAACAGAGAACTAGCTTCATTCTCGTCCGTAACGGATTTTAGAAAATCGTCCCCATGAAACTAATCAGAATCGCTTGAGAAATATCCAAAGGATACTTGTGACTGAAAAGATTACCCAACTTTTTTAAAGCAAAGCTTGCACAAAACGGTAACGAAAAAGAGCCAAACGGGTGACCGGTGAGTCTCATTTCTTCTGGAACTCTCCTTATTTCACCATTGGAGTACCATAAGAAGCGGAATGCACCCTGATCCCTCTCTGGTACCCGCACCTGCAGAAAGATATTCTCTATATCTGCTGACAAGGCTATAGGTCCTTGTATAAACCGTATCAAGACGCCAACGAAACTGGATACCGGGTTTGGACCAGGTTATAAATGATCATTTAACGACTCACCGTTAAACTTCCCCGCACAGTCAAAGACGACCCGAACTTTATCCGGCTTTTCGGATTAAAAAAATGCGTGATGCAGAAGATACCAACATAATTCATCTGGGTTCAAAATTTCTAACACACGTTTTGCGTAACCCCTTTGGATATACCCATATATCACAGCTGAGTATGTTTCTTGGAAATGACTGTTGCAAAGAAATCGCTTTTGCAAGACCATTGAGCGGTTAACAGCACTAATTTTATTTCCCTTCCCCTTAAGAGAACTGTTCTTCCAAGGTAAGCCGACGCACAGAAGTCCCTTTTAATCTCCAATGTGTTTTCCTACATACCAATAGCTCTTCATTCTTCTGCAGAGGATTTTGTCTCGAATGAACTATTATCCATGAAATAACCATTGTACAACTTTGTAGATTTTCTTCCCGCTAATGTAACGCATGCAGTCCATCTTTACATCTGTGGTGGTTATCTAAAGGGCCGTGTAACACCTAACCCAAGGGGGTTCGATCTGCAAACGGATCACTTTTAACTCCTCTTCCCTGCTCCAAAACCCAGTGAGCCTCCGGAGTGTCCAAACCAATAATTATGCTCAAAGTTTTACTGGGTAACGGAGGCAATTCCATATTGTTTAGCTGAGACCAATTAAACAACGTTTCCTGAGTAGGTCGAATGGTTTCCACATTAAGTATAGAAGGCACTGGATAAGCCCTGGCAACGTCCACACATTCCTTACTATCTATAGATCTTAGGCGTAACGAGACATGCGTGCACCAAAGATGTGGTTTGCCAATCAGAGTATCCAAACTTATCTTAGCTGTAATTCCCTGAAGTCCTAACAATTGCAGCAGATCTTCTCAAACAAGAGGTGTCAGCTCCACTGTCTAACAATGCATTGACGATCACTGAATCCATTGGTCCTTCTACCAAAACCTGTATCACACCTAGGCTTACACTCCCCGCAGCAGGTAGCCTGTGACAAGGGGCATTTGTGACGTGCATTTTATCCGGGTTTGAGTGCAAAATCCTTTGATGTGCCTTATCACATTTCTTGTCTAGACAACGGATCTATGGAGGGCAGTTTGAGGCCCGATATTTAGGATTCAAACAGACGAAGCATGATTTTTTGGCAGAAACCAATTCCCACTTTTCTTTCACGCTTAAGTTCTGAAACTGTGTGCACTTTTCTAAGGCGTGCACAAGATTGCAGCACGGGCAACG